CTGACACTTCTTATATCTCTCCATTTTTGTTCTGATCTCCCCTGAAATCCATCTATCTGTATACCTGAAATTACATCATACTCCAGAGTAAGAAGGCTACCAGAAGAAAAATAATATCTAAGCAACCATTGGAATTTCATCTAATGGCAACACCATCATTGTGATCATTACCTTCCTATTTATTGTAATGACAGCTCAGGTCTTCCTCTTGGAAACCCCATCGGTGTTTTGTATAGAGGGAAAGATCAGGTTCAACTCTGCTTAGCTCTGGAAAAAATAGCATCCAATGTTCCTAGGCCATTAACTGACTCTTAATGTGCTTTCATGTTTCCTGTCAAATTTGATTATATAACATAATAAATGCTCCTGCTGTTTCTTCATCCACTGAAGGCAGAAGGGTGATCTTTTGCTTTTTACCTGAAGATAAAAAGGTGTCTGAATTTGAAATCCTGCCATCCGGCTTTATAGATTTGTTCCAGAAAAGTTATCTCTTCCCTCGCTCTGGGAAGCCATTGTTTACTCAATTTGCTTGAAGGAGAAGGATCTGTTCATGCCAAAGCTTGATGGCAAAGCAGGGAGTGCTAGATCTGGCTGCCACGGCTAATGGATTCAGGCCAGAAAGTCTCACACAACACACAGGCAATCAGAGCGAAATAAAGGATGTTCCCAAAGCAGAATAAATGGCGGATATTAAAGAAGATAGGAAAATGGCCAGTCTAAAGGAAGGCTGCCAGTCAGCTGGAGGGTTTTTAAGCAGGATGAAATCAATGTTGTGTGATTGCATTAAAAGCCCCGCCCCTTTCATGTGTGCATGTAACATCATAATGTGCATATGTACCATGACACAAGCATTCATCATTTTTCCCCCTCCATAAAAACTCATGAAAGGTCTCTCTCTCTCTCTCTCTCTCTCTCTCTCTCTCTCTCTCTCTCTCTCCCTCCCTCCCTCCCTCCCTCCCTCTATATATACACACACAAATACATATACTCACACACGCACACACACAGCATTGACAAAATTAAATCTTTGTTTTGACGAACAGAAACCCTCTTCTTTAATGACAGTTGATATTTGTTCCCCTGTGAAAGTTGCAGATTTAAAACAAAAGTTCGCGGAAAGCAGCCATGAAATCAATGGTTAAATCCTTTTGTTCTGTTCTTCCGCTCTAGCCTGCTGGTGACATGCTGTCTCCCTGTACATGAATCCTGAGCTTTTGATAATGACACCGACAGGAAAGATTCAACTGAATTACGTTGACAACACTTCAAGCATCAGTTTTGTCGATGGTTTCTTAGGAAGTGTCCCTGGAAATTCCACAGTGACCTGTCCATGATGCTGAAGACCCCAATTTAGGCTAAGCGGGATGATTATGAGATTAAGGACTTGAGACCATTAGAAAAACAGCTACAGTGACCTCTGTGGAATGTATTCAATGAAGGATTTTGAAGATCTGGCCCAAAGGAGGAACTACAGTCAACGTGTCTTACTGTAGTTAGGAAATAAAAAATAATAATGTGCAATTTTTTTCACTCTAGTAAAGTGTCAGGGTTCTGGAGATTGCCCTAATTAAATCATGAGCCTTGAAAAAAATCCTAAAGATTTATTAGGAGCAACATGTCGGCATTATCCCACCTGTGATCCTGTTTCCCCCCTCCCCCCTGAGTGTGTCATACATCATATTCTCCAACAAAGCAAGTTCACATGATGGGTGTCATCAATTACACTCTCCAATGAAGGGTTTTTTGTGAGCAGAAGACGGTAGCCTAGCTACAATCTTTGTAAGATAAGCGTGGAATGTACTTCTGGTTCCCTGCTTATGGCAACTTGGAAACAGGCATGCTTTACAGGTTGATAGTAAGTTTGATTCAGAATAGAGTTGGAAGGGGTCTTGGAGGTCGTCTAATCCAACTTCCAGTTCAAGCAGGAGACCCTATACTATTTCAGACAAGCGGCTGTCCAGTCTCTTCTTAAAAACCTCCAGTTATGGAGCACCCACAACTTCTGAAGGCAAGCCATTATGATGGTTAATTTTTCTCGCTAATAGTTATTCCAGGTTGCTTCTCTCCTTGATTAGTTTCCATCCACTGTTTTTTGTCTTGCCTTCTGGTGCTGTGGAAAATAAGTTGACCTCCTCTTCTTTATGGCAGCCCCTGAAATACTGAAACACTGCTATCATATCAGCCTTAGACCTTCTTTTCTCTAGATTAGCCATATCCTGGAACCGTTCTTCATATGTTTTAGTCTCCAGGCCCTTAATCCTTTGAATTACTTTCCTCTGCTCTTTTTCCAAAGTTTCAACATCTTTTTGTAATGTGGTGACCAAAACTGGATGCAGCATTCCAGGTGTGGTCTTACTTTAAAAAAAAAAAAAACTTTAACTTTTAAGTGCTTGCATAACAGAGCCTCAGTGCTTAAAAGCAGGAAGTGCTGATTTTGGGGGAAAGAAAAAAAGAAACAGAAGTGTTGTCTTCAACCCTGCTTGTGGGCTTCTTGGTCTGATGGTCCACCACGGGGGATGAGATGTTACATTAGATGCGCCACCAGTGTGTCACAAAAGGACTGTATTTCTGGGTAAACAAGGACTCTTACTTCTGTAACCATGTAACCTTTTCATCGGTTCCTTCCTTCCTTCCTTAGCCTTTCATTCATCCCAGTCCAAACAGAAAACGAATTAATTCCTCGAAACCAGATTTCACTTTCAATATCCACGGAAAATAATAATGGCTCTTCTTAAAATAGCTTTAGTTTTTCATATTTTTCACATTACAGTGCCAAAAAAAAAAAAAATACTTTGCAGTAATCAAGGGGTTTTGTTGACTCTGAATTTTGCTAAGCATCCTCCGTGAAGCGAAAAGACATTTTCAATTTTAAGAAATGAAATGACTTTGGAACCTGATAGTTAACTATAAATTATCTGTCACAAATGCCAGGTGCTTAATGTATTAATACCTCCCATCCATACAGTTGAATTTATTATTACCATTTATGGAATAAATTTTCAGGTTGTTTACCAAGATGAGCAGGGTAATTCATAAATTACCAAAGGTATGAAAATCCATGTCATCTAGCAGAAAAGAGGAAGATTAATTATCTTAATTAATAGGAGTTCCTTCCCTGTGTTATTTTTAAATTGCAGTGACCTTTGTTGTGAGTTTATCTTTCTTTCCTTTCCTTTAGCTTAAGAGTATCCGCAGAATAGGGTAATAAACAGGGAATAAGAGGAAGGTACTAACTCACTCTTATGTTATATTCACTAAAACTTTCGGTAGTAAATATCGCTACTGCTTTCAATTAGAAAGATGCTGTACTTTCTCCCTAAGAGGCAAAGGTTTTTCTTCCAATTAGATGGACAAGATACAGCAATAGCTTGCCTTGAGCAAGGTTCATATCTTTGCAAATATGGGTTCATAAATAATAGAGCTGCGCAGAGCTCTAAAAGGGCCTCTGGGTTTGATGGAACATGGATCAAAGAGCCCACCTTTAAATGAAGCACTGAACTGAAGTGGTGCCTCAGATGAGATGTCAGTGGGATTGACCAGACAACATCGATCTGTTTCACAATGTGCGTTCGCTCACATGCGCAAAACGGCTTTTTCCCCCCCTCTATCGAAGCAGCTGATCAAAGTGTTTGGCTTTTGTTTTAAAACATATGTTAAGCCAGAGCGAAGTCTTGTTGATTCATTCGTTCATTCATTCATTCATTCATTCATTCATTCATTCATTCATTCATTCATTTATTTATAGATTGAGGTATCATTGTGAATTGCTTGATGGGCTGTCAGGTGCAAAGAATCAGGGCTGTGTGTTATGTCCCAGTTAAGGTGATTTATTGCTCCTGCCTATACACAAGGATCTATCCAAGTCGGGGTGTCAAACTTGATTTCACTGAGAGCTGCATCAGGGTTGTGTTTGACCTTGGGGGGGGAGGGGGGCTTGGCCAAGGTGGTGCTCACTCATGTTGGGGTTGCCTGTGGTGGCCTGAGCCAGTGAAAATGGGCTCCCGAGCTCCATTTAGTCTGTGACGGCCTCCTGCAACCCTTCTGCCAGGGAAAATGGAGGTGGGAAGTGCTGCCTGTGGCCCTCCCGAGCTCTGTTTTCGGCTGCAATGGCCTCCTGCAACCCTATGCCAGTGAAAATGGAGCTCGGGAGAGGCACTGCAAGCCAGTCCTTCACTGTTTCCAGGGAGGCCCCGTGGGCCAGATCTAAGCACCTCACGGGATGGATCCAGCCCCAGGGCCTTGAGTTTGAGACCCCTGATCTAACTCAACTGACAGTCAGCACTAAATTTGTGCTAGATAAGAGTCAACCAAGTTCAAGAGGGATTGCATTTAGATCATTTGTGGGAATGTAATGACTCCAAGCCAATTACTCACTTGACTCCACCCTCAGGTTCTGTCTTTCTCTCTCTACTACATTGACCCAAACCAATGCACATCTAATCAATGATCAACACAAGGGACATTTGTGCCGTGTTAGCAATGAACAAATCACCCTCTTAGAAACTACTTGTGGTTCTTGGACAAGAGTCCTAGCCCTGTTCAGGAGTGGGTAACTGATGGTGCTCCCAATTTAGAAGGGGTTTGAGCTTTTCCATTCACTTAGATTAGTGGTGTCTTGGTGCATATCAGCATGCCAGTGAAACTTATAAGAGAGGAAAGAATAGTCCTACAAATATTCCTTCACTGTGGTTACTTTTTGAAAGAGTTGGGTTCATCTTTTCTGTTAGTAGAGTTTAAGTAGATTTACATGGCACATTGATCATTTTCACTTCTGCAGAGAATCACATTTTCATTTCATGTACTTGACAATTCAGAAAATAGCTGTACCTTTCCACAGAGAATCTGCTACTCTTGCTTCTGACTATGGAGAAGTTGCTTCAGCAGGATCTGTGGAATGTCAGCCTCAGGAGTGACAAAACCAAGAATTACATGAGGCTGATCAAACAGCACCACCACCTAAGCGACTGGAGTTGTCAAATGAGAATGGTGTAAGGTCTCACATATCTGGCAAGTAGAGAGGAGATGAGAACAAAAATGTTCTAAAGGCTTTGGACTGATCTCCAGCTCTTGCATGATATTGGTGTGGATCATGCTCAAGAAATTCTGGACTGTTGAACAACCATGATCCAGCTCTTGGAACCTTGGACTGATTTTGGACTATTTTTCCTGCATGCTCCTGTTAACACAAACCATATAGGCCAGAAACTCTGTTTTCCTTTGCATGCATTGCCTTTCATTTCTTTGACCTTGAATAAACTATGAACTACCACAAAAAAAAAAAAAAAAAGAAAATCTCCAGGGATTGCAACTCCCAGTTTAAAAAAAAAACACAGTCTAATCAAGTTGTGTGTTCTCTCTGGGCTGAATTTTGTGACTGTAGTTTGCTCAGTGGGCCTCCAACCAACCTGCTGTGTGAAGAATTATATGATGGACCACAAAGAAAGAATATGCAGCAATGACAGCATGCATTTGCATTTATTTTCTGGCTCATCTAACATGGTGCATTTTTTTAAACGTGGTTTGCAAAGCTGGAAGAAAGGAAAAGCAAAACAGCCATGCCAAAAGAAATAAATCCGTGTAGAAATTGAAAAAGTATTATAATTGCTCTAAGGAGTATATTACTTTGATTTAGTATGAGAAAGAGCTGTTGTTGTGTAGTAGTTGCCACCTAATGAAAGCAGCAGAGACTACAGAGACAGAATTGAGAATAAGAAATACCAAATACCAGTTATTTCCTGTTCTCTAGTTAAATAAAAGTTAGGTAGCCATTCAACTCATGATGTATGGATTACTGTAGAACAACAGAATATAGAATAATAGAGTTGGAAGGGACCTTGGAGGTCTCCAACCCTCTGCTTGATCAGGAAACCCTACACCAATTCAGACAAATAGTTATCCAGTCTCTTTTTGAAAGCTCCACTGACGGAGCACCTACAACTTCTAAAAGCAAGCTATTCCATTGGTTAATTGCTCTCACTGTTAGGAAATTTCTCCTTAGTTCTAGTTTGTTTCTCTCCTTGGCAAGTCTAATCTGTGTCAATGTCATGGCTTTGTAGGAATTAATCTAGTGGCTGAACTTCTACAGACTTATTTCTAAAGCAGTCCTTGTCATATTCAATATTATGTCTTTCCTATCTCAACTTTGTCCAACATGTTACAATAGACTAATTTATTGGCAGACCAAGGTATCAGGGTTATCAGGGCAACACAGCTCATTAATGCAGTAAAAAAGACTGGAAGGAAGGATATACATACATACATACATACAAACATACATACATACATACATACATATAATGATCAATCAGTCAGTCAAATAAACACAAACCAGGATGACTCACCTCATATGCAGCAATGGCTTCTCTATCAAGTTGTTGTGTTACGAAGACCTCTCCTGTTCCCTCAATGATTTTGAAAACTCCCTTTGGCTCCTGTTCTACTCCTTTCCCCAAAATTCGAAACTTTGAACCCTCCGGCCGGTCAATGTCTATCACCTGGGAAAATTAACAACAAAATCATTATAATTACAAGCCAAGCAGGAGAATCACAAATCATGAGACCCCAGAGATGCTGTGATGGCCACAATTACAAGGACCCATATTAAATCCCTCTCATTAGGATTGTTGTAACTTTTGGTCAATTGGTGGTTGTTCAATTACCAGTACAGGAACTCCTTGATTTACCAGCATAGCTGAGTTCAAAATTTCCATCATTAAGAGAGTTTTACCCCCTTTTTACAACTTTTCTTGCCACAGTTGTTAAGTGAATCATTGCCATTGTTAAGATAGTAACACGGTTGTGAAGTGAATCTGGCTTGCCCATTGATCTGTTTGTCAGAAGTCGTAAAAGGGGATCACATAATCCCGAGACAATGCAAACCGTCATAAATATGAGTCAGTTGACAAGTTTGATCATGTGACCACGGGGATGCTGCAACAGTCATAAGTGTGAAAAATGGTCATAACTCACATTTTTCAATGCTGTTGCAACCTCAAACAGTCACTAATTGTAGAATTGTAAGACAAGGACTCTTTATACTTCTTAATGTCTCCATTAAGACATTAGAAAGCTCACTGCTGTGAAATGAAAATCGTTCATTTTTAAAAGTATACTAGTCCTGTTAAGTAGGGATGCGGTGGCTCAGTGGCTAAGAGGCTGAGCTTGTCGATCAGAAAGGTCGGCAGTTTGGCGGTTCGAATCCCTAGCGCTGCATAACGGAGTGAGCTCCCGTTACTTGTCCCAGCTTCTGCCAACCCAGCAGTTCGAAAGCATGTAAAAAAAATGCAAGTAAAAAATAAGGACCCCTTTGGTGGGAATTTCGGCATTTAGTCATGCTGGCCACATGACCACGGAAACGTCTCCAGACAGCGCTGGCTCTTTGGCTTTGTAATGGAGATGAGCACCGGCCCCTAGAGCCAGAAACAACTAGCATAATATGTGTGAGGGGAACCTTTACCTTTACCTTAGTTCTGTTAAAATGAAGCAGGGTTGCAGATTATTGACATGTACCATTTTTTTAAAAAGTCACTCATCATCTGAGGATATAATTATAAAAATTACTTCCTACCTTTCTCCCAGCAACTTATCAACCTGCCTCATTTTCCCTCCCTCCCCTCTTTCATCCTTAAAACTACCCTGTTAAGTATAAATAGAAATTCAGTACTAACATGATTTCAGAGTGGTTATCTGCAAAAGAAGGAATTACATCATGAAATAGCAGAGAAGCAATATATTAAGAGGCTTAACACAGTTTCACAAGGATTAAATAGAGACTAAGGTTCCTTATCAGACAGAAAATGTTAAGCAATTAATCTATATAATGCCTGCGTCTCATTATACATATAAGTCATTTTTCCTACATTTTATTTACCTGTCACAAGCTAGACTGCCTTTCAGAGATCTAATTCAAAGGCAATTTGGCAGAATTTCTGAACTGAAGAGAGTTTCCAGACTGAATCAGGAAGTTGAACCAAATTGTCAAATCAAATTAAATGCCTTTAAACCAATTCAAGTACTTTGGATTATATGCAAGGCCCCTTTCCCCCACTTCCAAATTCATCCAGAAGTCTGAAGTGAATCAGGCCATTTTGAGGAATGATATTATGGATCGGTTCAAATTCTCAGATGGAACCAAAGTTCTGAATTCAATGGAGAGTTTGAAACATGGCAAAGCTGATTTGCATACTCCTGATAATTTATCCCATGCATTCCAAAGACACTTATACTTTTATAAATCTCTATTTGACTGGATGGATCTGTCTACAAGAGGAACACGATGGCTTAGTGGTTAAGATCCTGGGTTTGTCGGCTGGAAAGCTGACAGCCCAGGTTTGAGTCCCCAGCAGCACACAACGGGGTGAGTTCCTGTTGTTGCCTCAGTTCCTGCCCATCTAGCAGTTCGAAAGCATGCAAATGCAAGTAGATAAATAGGTACCACTTCAGTGGGAAGGTAAACAGTTTCATGAAGTGTTCTGTCCACTGAGATGCCCCAAATGTTCTGTGCACCACATGACCACAGAGACTTCTTTGAACAATGCTGGTGTCAACCCTGACCTGACTGAAGCCACACTGGAGCTGAGGGATAAGCAGGGAGGATTTGAGATAGAGGGGATTCTGTAGCCAAAACAAACTACTTTCTCTTGGGAACCAAGGTCATTCTCACACCTGGGCGAAGGAAGGTGGAGTGATGCTACCCAGCTGTCAGACCACACCATGATTGGAACATGTGACTGATTGTTTTGAGGAAGTAGAAAATCTTTTACTTTTAATTAGGTGAAAACCACGGGAGTTTTCAGAGTCAGTTTTCACCAGATACCTGCTAATATGATATTTGCAATAAAGCTATTCTTTGAGGAATCTAATTGCCTTGGAGTTTTGCTTGATGATTGTCAGCTCCCTCGGCTAAGAAATGAAGACATGCACTACTACCCTAGAGTTGCACATGACTGGACAAGGGAAACCAATTTTTTTACCTTTATCTGTCTACAATATTCCAGCAGCTATGGCTAGGATACTGATAAAAATCCTCTACCTTTTAGTTGCTAGCCAATTTCTACTTCTCATTTTGATACTGACCCATTGGGAACCATGATCTATGAATCCTCTTTAAATTCAGTGACTGAAGCTCTGTACAACTCGGTCAACCTATATTGGGTAATTCTTCAAGACCAGAGGCTCATGCAAGAATCACAGAACAAGCACTGCAACAAAACCACAGACAAAGACCAAGTTTCCAAGAAAGCAGATTTTATTGAAAGCCCTTTTCAAACCCAGCAAATATATATATATATATATATATATAT